CCGCTGGCCCGCGCCGGGGCTGTGACCCCCGCAGCCTCTGGGGAAGGTGCTGCCTTCCCACCCACTGAAGTGTAGCCATGACTTCCTTGCCCAGCAAGCAGTCATAGATTAGGTATCTAATTTAGCCATTTTATTCTAACCTTGTTTTTTCAATTGCCCTTAAATAACCGGTTCTTCGAATGCTCTTTTTTTTTTAATCTTTACTGTTGAGAGTATTACAGATGTCCTCTTTTTATCCCCCACTGCCCCCCCACCCGGTTGCCACCCTGCCCTAGGCCTTCACCACCCTATTGGCTGTGTCCGTAGGTGACACATATGTGCAGGTAATTTCCTTGGTTAACCTTTCCCCCCTCGTACCCCCTCCCCCCTCATTCCCTCTGAGATTCGTCAGTCTGTTCCATGTTTCCATGCCTCTTGTTCTATTTTATTCATCAGTATATTTTGTCCATTAGATTCATTTTTTTGTTTATTTTTAGATTCATTTGTTCATAGATATGTATTTATTGCCATTTCATTGTTCATATTTTTTATCTTTTCTTTTGCTTCTTCTTAAAGAAGAACCTTTAACATTTCATGTAATTCTGGTTTGGTGGTGATGAACTCCTTTAGCTTTTCCTTGTCTGTGATGTTCTTCATTTAGGGGAAGTTTTCTGTCATTATGTCTTTAAATAGGTGTTTAATCTGTTTTCTCTCTTCTCCTTCTGCACACCCATGATGCGAATGCTGGTAACTTGAAGTTGTTCCAGAGACTCCTTACACTATCTTCATATTTTTTTATTCTTTTTTTTGCTCTTGTGATTGGGTGTTTTTTGCTTCCTCATATTCCAAATTGTTGATCTGATTATCAGCACCCTCTCCTCTACCATTGATTCCCTGTAAGTTATTCTTCATTTCTGTTAGTGTACCCTTCATTCCTGACTGGTCCTTTTTTCATGTCTTTGATGTTCTCACTAATTTCTTTGAAATTCTCACTAAGTTCGTTAAAGCTCTCATTAAGATCCTTGAGCATCCTTATAACCATTGTTTTGAACTCTGTATCTAGTAGTTTGCTTGCTTCCATTTCACTGAGTTCTTTTTCTGGATATTTCTTTGGTTCTTTCATTTGTGACATTATTTTTTGTCTCTGTATTTTGGCTGCTTCCCTGTGTTTGTTTCTATGTATTAGTTAAAACTGCTCTGTCTCCTGGAATTGGTAGAGTGGCTTTGTGTAGTAGGTGTCCTGTAGGGCCCAGTGGCTCAGCCTCCCCAGTCACCTGAACTGCACACTCTAGGTGCCCCCTGGTGTGGGATGTATGCACTGTCTTGTTGCAGTTGAGCCTTGATTGCTGTTAATGTCATTGGGAGGAATTGACCCCCAGGCCAATTGTGAGGACCAGCTGGGACTACAGTGGGAGAGCTGCTGTGCAGGAGACACCCTATGGAGCAGGACTTGCTTCAGTGGGGCTTTGATGCTCACTGAATCTTCCCCTTGAGTGTATCACTCATGGATGGATGTGTAGAGTTGTAATCTGGTGTGGTCTGAAGCTGTCCACTGGGTGTACTGGCTCTGGGCCTCCCAGGAGGTGCAAAGTCAGCCACTGCCTGGGGCCACAGGTGGGTGTCAGACCAGCCCGTTTCACACCGCTGCCCCTCCCACCAGTCTCAGTGTGCTTTCTTCTTTACTTCTCTAGGTATAGGACTTCCATTCAGCCAGATTTCAGGTGGTTCTGAATGATGGTGGTTTTGTATTTTAGTTGTAATTTTGACGTGGTTGTGGGAGCCGGTGGGTACCATGTTTACCTACGCTGCCATCTTGTTTCTATCCCTCTTCTAATGTTCTTTGAATGAGCTTCACCATATTGCAGGTTTCCTCATAAATTGAGGATAAAATTGATACCTGTTTTGCATGAGACATGTTTTAATGTTTTGAAGATTATACTTTGACAAAGGTAAACCCAACAGAGAAGAGGGTTGGGGCCTGCTGGTGGCCCAGCCCTGGCACAGCAACCTCAGAGGGGCAGAGCTGGCGACCAGCTTCCTCCCTTCCCCCGGCTCGACCCTTCCTGTCCACAAAGGCTGGGTGACCCTGGGAGAGCTGAGCAGCCCGGTCTTCCCTTTCTGGGCATCACCGTGACCAGAAGCTGTGTCTCGGGAGCACCCAGCAGAGCGGGTGCAGGTCCCTTCCTCCCCGGAAAGCATGTGGACCTGAGGTCAGGACTCACCGTGGCCCTCCGGACTTCGTCAGAAATTCCTTGGAAATGTTTATGCCTGACTCCACTCAAGGGATGTGGCCTTTAATGACGTCAAATGAACCTTATTGTCATAAATTTTATTTTCCTACAGACTTTCATTTTGGTAGTGGTCAACCCTAATTCCATCTCAGGGGTTTGGAATGAATACTATGGTTTAGAAGGCTTCCCAGACCTGTCCTGAGACCACAGGAGGCCTGCCTTGCGGGGGATCAGGGCCCAGGCCTCACGGCCAGGAGGTCTCAGAACTAATCTCTCCTGCTCCCTTGCTGCCGTCAGAACACTGAAGCCTGGTATATGACCAGGTGCCAGCACCTCCCTCCCTGCCCCTACTCCCTCTCACACCTGTGAGAGACAAGGCTGTCCTCTGGGCCCCTCTGCCTGTCACCTTGGGCTGCAGGATCTCCTGATTCGCAGCCAGCAGGCTCAAGCCCGCCCAGCACCTCTACACACCAGTTTCCTTCCTTGGGCCCTACTTGCTTCTACACACTTGACCTTTTTCCCAGATAGATTTTCTAGAACGGCCCCGATGGTGCCGCTCCCTCCATCCCTAGTTCCAAAGTCACACCCAATGCCATTCCCTGGCATTAGCCCCTGCCTGGCTCCGCCCCGCATTTTTTGGGTACCTGCTTGCACTGTGTCTCTGAAACTTACCACCTCCTGGTAGGGCCAGGGAGCCAATGAAAGGGAGCAAGGAGTATGCGGGCAGCATCTATGGAAACCAGCCGGCCTCACAGCTTTCGGCAGAGGGACCAGTCTGGATGGTCTGTAACTGGGGCAAGAATTCCTGCCGCAAAAACAATTGCTTTGAGCCCATACTGGGCACGTAGGAGTTGTCACACCAGGCCAGAGCAGGGTGTTTTCAAGTCCTAGTGACCCTGCCCAGTCACTGACCAGGTCTTTAGCTTTGGTTTTCAGCTTTGACATAACTCTGTGCAGGTGAGCTCAGTTCCAAGTTCCCACGCTCCTTCCACCAGGAGAGTGCTCACCACCCTACGCCTGCCTTTCTGGTGACAGTTACACGGGAGCGGAGACGGGCAGCCAGGGAGAGGGCTGACCCCGGCTCAGGGACGTTTCCTCCTGTGATAACCAGTCCTGACCACTCCAATGTGCCCTCCTCTCTCCGGGGCAACCACACAACCACAGGGTAGACCTGGTTCAGGAACGTCCAGTGCCCACGTTTCCACAGACGGACCACAGACTCCGGACCCAGGCAGTACCTTGTTGTAACAGGGCAGGTGGCTGCCCTCCGGAGGCTGGTCGAAGCTGATGGGCACCTCCTCTGGCTCGCTGGCCCGAGACCGCACGCTGGGGCTGCTGGGCGTGGAAGGTGGGCTGTGAAATGGTGACACCGTGGCCTTGAGTCCAGGGCTCTTGGGTGAGGCCCCAGGCAGCAGGGCGGCGGGGTCGAAGGCTAGGTTGGCCTGTTGAGAGGAGAAGAGACATTTCAAATCGGGGTGGGAGAAGGTGAGCTTCTGCTCTAGCTCTTTGGTTACCTGGCCTTGCCTAGCTCCAGAATTCTAGAGTGGTGGGGCACCTGGGGTGGGGGTGGGCGATTCTGTGCCCAGGAGGTCATTGGCAATGTCTGGAGACATTTTTTGTTGTCACCACTTGCAGGAAAGTGCTACTGGCATCTCGTGGGAAGGGACCAGGGACACTGCTGAACATCTTCCAATGCACAAGGCAGCCCCGCCCGCGCCAGGAAAGGGCCCAGCCCAGGCAATGCCACGGAGAGGAACCCTGGTCTAGGCAGGAGGAGCCAGGCAGTCACAATGGAGAGCTCTGGTATTTACGCTCCTACACGGCTTTGCTGTATCGCATGGGAAAATCTTGTCTCCCAACAGGCTGTGAGCTCCACTGCCCCGACGTGCGCTTCATCTACTTTCCAGGGAAGTCTGCTTGGCTCTGGGCGCACTGTGATGGGTGGACGGGTCGGGCGTCCCAGGGCCAGCAGCTGAATTGCAGCCTGTGTTAGGCTGGCATGGTTGGTGGCTGCCTCCAGGCCTTGGGGGAGAGGGCCCCGCGGTTCTGGGAGTGTCTCCTGCATGGTCATGCCATTTTCCCGGAGGACCCTTGGGGCGCTCCATTCTCCATCAGCACTGCTAGGTGTCAGCTACCGGAGTGCATGCTTGACAGGGACCTCATTTTGGCCCTTTGGCTCCAGGTGGAGCCCTCGTCCTCCAGGGCAATTTGGTCACTAGCTGATGGTCGGAGGTCAACTCTCCAGGTGACACAGGGACATGCAGATGTTGGGGAAGAGGTGGCTGCACTCACCTGAAGCTTCTCGATCAGAGGCGAGCTCTTCACCTTCACCTTGGGAAGGTGGCTTGTGCTGGGTGGTGATTTCTGCAGAGCAAACGGACCGAAACAACCGAATGAGTGGGGTGGAGGGAGGTGAGGTCCTGGGAGCCCAGAAGCCACAGGTGGAGGAGGGGAGTTGGTTTCACTCAGCTTTGGAGGCCCACATTCCCCCCACCCCATCTCTCCCCAGCAGGATCAGGGCAGGCAGGACAGACGCCCAACATACAGGAGGTCTCCTGTACCAGCAAGGTGATCTCATGTTCATTTCGAGGGAACAGACGGTGCCTGAGAGGGGACTTCTCTGTACCTCCTGACCTTCAACAACACTCGGAGGGAATTTCAGAGAGAAAGGACAAAGTGACCCCATTCCGTTGGTCACAAACAAAACAAGAAACCACCGACCACGAGTGAAACCTGACAGGTATTTTGGAAATTCCCCCCTTGAACTAGTGGTATTTGGAAAATCCCACAAAAAAATTATCATTTTCCAAAGCACTGAATATTCATTTTGATGAACAGACATTTATGGAACATCTACCACATTCCAGGCTTTATGCTGGTTGCATGAAGTTGCACTCTGTTAGGTGAAGATATTTTTGCGATGAATGGATGTAGAAATCCTATCTTGCTTTGATTTGATGTTATCCAAAAAGATGAACTCCTTTCTGTTTTGTGCAAAATCCCTACAACTGAGTCTGGTTCCACAGATATATTCATCCTCACATGTAGGAATGATGGCGATGATGATGAAGAAGAAAAATGAAGGGAGGAGGAGGAGGGGGAGGAGACACTTCATGTTGTTGGACAGAGGCTGAGGCAGCTATAGGGGCCCCAACATCTAGTCCCTACCCCTCACCCCACGTTCTAATTTCCCTGCATCATGGGAAGAATAACACCTGCCCCTAGAGGTCTGAGTGTTCTGAGTGAGGCAGCTGTATTTCAGCAAAGGAAGGAGGAGACAGACTCTGCGCTCCTGGGACCTTTGTAAGGCCCAGCACTCAGGGGAGGGGCTGCGAGGGACAGTCACTGGCCGGGACCCAGGAGCCCCCACCCCTTCTCATTCGGCTTCAGACAGGAGCACGGGCTGCCCCGCCTCGGCCAGAGTCCAGCAGCAGATGGAGTCAGTGAGTCTAAGGGCCCCACCCTCCAGCTCCAGGGTGCCCCTGGCCCGTGAGTTCACACCCAGATGTATTCCTAGAGCGGCCTTTCAAGGAACTCGTGTCCTTGGTGAGCACAAGAGCTTCCAGCCCAGGCCGTGCTGTCCTTAATCTCTGTGCTTTAAGGTGACATGTCCCAGGAGCCGGTGTTTCTGAAGATGCTGTTGTAGAAATGGTAGCTACGATGCTGCTGACAAAGCCTCCCTTACGTCGTCCTGGGAACCCTTCTCCCCAGCTGACCACGGCGTTCTGAAGAGAGCGGAAATTTAATAAACCCGGCCCCTTTGCCATAGCACAGGCCTGGGAACCCAGCTCAGAGTCCACGAAATCCTTGTTGATTTGAACTGAACTGCAAAGCAGGATTCTAAATAGCCGCTAATGCAAGACCCAGGTGCCCTTGAAAGACCGCTCTAGGCATACATCTGCCACCAATGCAGTTCCTGCGAACGGCAGCAGGGGGCGGCATTTCCTTTACCACTTAAGCAGCTCCAGGCAAGTGGTTGGGGAAGGGAGCTTGGGAGAGGTGGTGGTGGAGAAAAGCCAGGGTCCACCCTCAATATGGGTGTTTCTATGTCCATATAGGACATTCTAGTGACGTCTAGAAGGAGCCTGATTATTCAGGCGGAAGTATTTTCAGCCCTTCTCTGGGCAGACAAGGCCCCCGCAGTGGCCACATTAAGACACCCTTTGGCTGTGCCTTCCGGGGAGGGGTAACCCCATGGTCTCAGGCCTGTGCAGGCACAGGGAGAGGCAGGGGTGCGAGCGGTGGGAGACCCTTTCTGCACTGCACACTAGGAACCGAGGGGCCGACTGGGTCCTGCCTTCCTGCCTGGGCCTCCATCGCTGGCGTGACCTATGACACCAGGCCCTCTCCTGTGTTGGTAACGTGGGCGATTTCTCTCTGAGGGCAGCGAGCCCCCTGTGCGCTCTGGGTTGCTTCAGTGGTCCAGAGCAGCGGCCTGTCGTGATTCCCACGGTACAGTTCTGCCTGAGGTTAAACACAGCCCTCCCTCCAGGCGCGTCTCTGCATGGGAGACTGTGTAGGTCAGACCTGGGGGGCAAGCATGACCCTCGGGGCCCTTGGATGGGGGTGGGGGTGAAACCACAGGGCCTGCTCTCTCTGCTGAAATTCCCAGGCTTGAAAAACAGCATCCCTGCCCCTGACTGATCACAAACAAGGCTCAGTAGGGGGGCCTGGACCAAGCCTCACTGTCAGACAAGGATGCAGGAAGCTCACCCCTGAGTCTACAAGGGGGTCCTTGCCTGCACAGGTGTCTGCGGGTGATGATTTTGCCTCCCTTCCTATGAGAAGGAGGAAGAAAACATACTCAGCATCTCCCAGCACTTACCTCCTCTCCGTTCTGGCCCAGCTCTACCTTGGGGGGGAACAGGGGGAGGGAGCAGGGCGGTTTCCTCCTGGCAGGCTTACTGGCTGGCATCTGGAGGGCGGGAGAGTGATGGACAGACACACAGAGAGAGAGAGCAAGTCAGGCAACAGGGAGGAGGAGGAAGTGGAAGCGGCTTCAGGGATGTCAGGGAGGAGGAAAGGATGGCGGCAGGGGTGGTGTGTCCTTGAGACTGGCCTTAGCTGGTCAGTGAATTCCGCTTCCCCGCCACCCACACGCAGTCAGCCCCAGCTCCCGTTCCCTCCAGGCTGCGGGACCCTCGCCTGCCTCAGCCACTGGCCTGAAATGTCCCCAGACCACACCCACGCCCAGCTGCAGGCACCGCCAGCCCCTCTGACCAATACCATCTTCCTTGCTCTTTATGCCATTCCCTTGTGTCTAGAAACGATGGACGGCTTTCTCGGACCAGAAAACAAAAGCGCAAAATAAACGCGCCTGGAACAGCCTGACGAGTGCGCCCTCGCTGGCCCCGGGGGCCTGGAACCTCCCCCTCAGGTGCCCTTCCCCTTCCAGCGAGCACGTGAGACCAGGCGCTCAGGAAACCCTAGTGTGAATCTCCACCCGACGACACTTTTTCACACTGTCCTCTCCAGCAGGATCCTTCTAGAACCCCTTGGCCACTGGGTCCCTTCCCTTTCCTGACCCTGGTTTCCTGCTTCCTCACTGGGAATCCTGAGCTCCAGGCAGGAGCCAGCGGGGAGGTCTTTATTCTGACCGCCTAGGCCTGGCACAGCCGGCACCACCACGTCTCTATCAGTGGGTGATGGAGGCGGCCGGGACCCAGACCCCACTTCTGCTGGCCGGCGGGTGGCTCTGGCCCCGCTGCCCCCGCCCTGCGTGGAGGCCTCGCTGCTGGGAGATCCTGCCTGGCCCAGCAGTGGCCACGACATTCCTCACATGCAGGGGACCCTCTGTGGCTTCTCTTCCTAATTTGGTAATTACCACACTTCCTCCCTCCCTCCCTCTCCCTGGGCCTGACCCAGACTTCCCCTTCCGCCAGCCCCCTCCCCGAGCAGCGCTGAGAGCCGCCTGACTCACCTCCTTTGCTGCCGCCGCCGCCTGCTCCCTGAACCGCCCGGCCAGCTGGGCCACCGAGGTGAGCCGCCTGACTCACCTCCTTCGCTGCCGCCGCCTGCTCCCTGAACCGCCCGGCCAGCTGGGCCACCGAGGGGGACGCCGAGTTGTCCACATTGGCGTTGGTCTCCGTGGGTCTTTCCTGGCAAAACAAGGGGAAGCAGCGGTTAATGGGAGCCAGGCACTGGCTCAGCTCATTACGGCGCTGGGGCCATGCCAGGGCCATGCCAGGGCCATGCCGGCACCTGTTCTGTGGCCACAGCCAGAGGTGGTGACCATGAGATCTTTGAACTGCATTTTGCAATTGGCTCCTACATGCGAAGATGAAAACAACAGCGACTCTTAACCTGCCACATGTAGTGAATGTTGACGATGTGCTGGGCCCGGGGTGGCCCTGGGGAGCCGAGGGAAGTACAGCCGGGCCCTGTCCTGGGGGAGCCCAGGGGTCTGGGCCTTCATTCTGTTGTATTACTGACAGCACTGGCCACAGGGGGCTGGAGGCAGGCACTGGAGAGGGGGGCCTTTAAGTGTATGAAACGGTTGACCGGTGCCCTCGCTGAGCTTCCTACGCGTGTCTGACCTCATCCCCTCCTGTCACCAGGTGTGCGGATGGTGACGTGCTCAGTAGCTATTTGTCAAATTAATAAACACTCGGCACGAGCCCAGGCAGGCTGGCGGAGGAGGCCCTGTCAGCTGGACTCGACCGTTAGCTGTCCCGTGTGCTGCTAGCTCAGTGGTGCGGGCAAGGCCTTTAGCGACAAGGACAGTAGCGGCGCAGCCCCCGGAGGTCTGTGGATGAAATGCTTTCCTACGGAGAGTGCGGGACAGGCCTCTAGAAGGGTTGTCACCACTTCGGGCGACGGGGCCCTTCCCGGAGCCCCCCGCGAGGCCGGTGGGGTAGCATGCGATGTCACCCCCTCCACAGAGTCCTCACTGGGAGACTCCCCCACCCTCGCCCCCCACCATGTTCCTTTTCGTGGAAGGAGTAGGCTGGTCCCTGCCCTGCTCTGCCTCCAGGGAGGTCATCGGGATACAGTGACCGTCCCCGCAAAGGGGTCTGTAGGCTCCCTGAAGAGACCAAGATGCACCCTGGACTCCGCTCACTCCCGTGGGCCATTTGTCACAGACACATGGGTGAGTCAGCGAGCGCTGGAAATGCCACCCCACGTCTGTGAGGTCACACGCGGCTCACATAACCACCTGGTTTTAATCATGTTTTTAAACGTCTGGTCTCAGAGACATTAGGCCTTTGTTGTTGTGACCAGGATGATGGCATTTACTGCACAGACTTCAGACTCCCTCTCCGAGCAAGCTGCTGCCCAGACACAGGGTTTGGTTCAGCTCTATCTTCCCCTCCCTGGGCTCAGGCTGTCCCTCCAGCAGCAAGTCTGCCTCCCTGTGTACTGCACAGACACGCACACACACGTGCACACAGGCACACAGACAGATACACATTCATGCATATGCACACATACACACATGCATGCACACATATGCACACATACATACATCACACACAAGCGCACACACACACTCCCTAGGCCAGTGATGGCGAACCTATGACACACATGTCAGAGGTGACACGCAAACTCATTTTTGTGGTTGATTTTTCTTTGTTAAATGGCATTTAAATATATACAATAAATATCTAAAATATAAGTCTTTGTTTTACTATGGTTGCAAATATCAAAACATTTCTATATGTGACACAGCACCAGAGTTAAGTTAGGGTTTTTCAAAATGCTGACACGCCGAGCTCAAAAGGTTCGCTTCACCGCCCTAGGCCCACCTTTTGCGCTAAAAGCATCTCCACGCTTTCTGGTCTGGGTGTCCCTCCAAAGCGAATGTGAGGGGTCCTGCTATGGTGCCGCCGCCCTGGAGCGGGAGGAGCAGAGGCGACCCCACTAACCTCCCGTGATGCTAAGGACACGGACCAAGCTCTGCGAAGAAGGCTTGTTTAGAGACGGGGAGAAACTGCGGGCCACGGGCCGTCAGACCTGGGAACAGGCTCTGGAGAGAGATGGTCCTCTTACTGTGTCCTGCTCTAGTTCAAGCTCACCCCTCCCAGCCTGAACAGCAAACTCAACAAGGGAGTCCCCTCCAGCGAAGACACCGGAGTTCCCATAACACTGAAGGCGGGGTGTTCCGGGCCTGGGGTAGGGCCTGGTGGGCAGAGCTCACGGACCGCACCGGTGAGCACACTCCCACGTTAGCAGCGCCAGGAGGCAAACGTCTTGTCCCGGAACAAGGGCAGCTTGTGGTACGGTGAGACTCACTGAGCCGCCCCTGGCACAGCGCCGATCGGCCTGTGCATCTGCCTAACTTCCTGCCCACATCGCGGATCAGTCTCTCTGTCCGCTGCTATTTATTGCTCGGGTCCTGCTGACCGTGCACTTCACCTCGGCTCGGGGCGCCCATGGCTGCGGTGCAGGGAGACACATTCCAGACAGAAATAGAGCCGCGCAGGGATCAAAGGCCTCCCGGACTTCCCTGTCCCGAATGGGGCTGGGCAAGGGGCTCAGAGGCGAGGGAACGAGAGGCTCCTGGAAGCATTTAGGGCTGAAAGAAAGAAAGATTACAGTTCGTCCGGGTGTGCTTTCCTGGAGCCCAGGGAATGGGCTTCCTTTGAACGCTTGCAGGCTCCAGAGCTGGCGGAGCCGAGCGAGGCCACTCTCCAGACCCTTCTCGGTCCTTGGGTGGAGGACTGGTATTGCCCTCTCACAGCTGGGTTCACTGCAGCCCAGAGAGGGCAAGTAACTTAGGCAGAGTCACACAGGAAAGCCAAACGGAATAACCTATGAAATAATTGACCTCAACCCCTGATAGCCTAGCAATGCATACCAGTTAAGTACAGTGGGGCCTTGACTTACGAGTGTCCCGACTAACGAGTTCGGCTTTTTAACATTTGTTTTAAAATATATTTTTATTGATTTCAGAGTGGAAGGTGCCTCTGTGTGGCTGGTGGTGATGGAGACTGGTTGGCTCTGAGGCCGGCAGGTAAACCGACCCTCCATTGCTCTTCAGGGTAAGTTTAGGGCTCCCTGTCATGTGCTCCTCTCACGTAGGTCAGTCCCATAAGAAACCTGGTATCACTGAAGCCCCTGTGAGTCCGAGGGGTGGTCTGGGCCCAGGGAGCCACTGCACCAGGGCTGCCCGGAGGCCCCGG